TCAAAGGCGGTCAGTTAGATCATCTTGTGAAACTGGGGGTGATAAAACAAAGAGGAAAAGAAGCAAACTGAAGCTTTAAAAAGTAAAATCAGTATACTGCGGGACTGCTTTATATGAAGCTCAGTCAGTCAGAGGAATGCATTTCAGAGGAAGGAGCTGCACATCAACTTCTTTCAAAAAAGACTTACGCTTTAATTATTAAAGCAGTGCTATCATACAGAACGCTTATAGGGAATAGCTTAATTTCATGCTTTTCTTTGGTGATTAGGGACCGCGTTATAAAATATAAATGTGTTATTTTTATTTCTTGAATGCGCCTTGTGAAGGACCCTTACTTTCCACATCATTTCCATTCTGCCCTCCTTTCTCTGTGTTTTTGTTCATGGTGGTAGGGCTGTGGAGGAGAGGAAGTATTACTTAAATTTTTTAGCGAGGCTTTTCTCAGACCTGTGCCAAACTCATTATTAAAAGGGATCTCTCCTATTTGAGTTCTCACAGGAGGACTCATAAATAAGAAGCAAAGATTCTATTACCTGCCCTCATTCTGGGGGATGCAACAGCCAGAAACGTATAAAACCATATGTAATTTTCAGCTAAACTTCCTAATGGGATGCATCTGCAAGTGACTGTCATTTCCTTGCAGCCTTTCAGAACCAGGAAATCCATAAGGTGTTACGCAAGAAATCTGTGTTCTTGACTTCCCTGATATATAGTATCTTTAAAATAGAGCTTATAGAGCAGAAGTGAGACAACATCGTGGCGCTTTCTCTGCAAAAAAACAGCATTTCATCATTCACCCACCCTGAGTGATTCTTCCAGATTTGGGCAAAAGCAAGTTGCCTGAGATCATAAAGTCACTAAAACTCTGACGTTACTTAGGAACTGAGGAACCACTTTCGAAAGGGATCTGTGACATGCCTGGACTACAGCATAAACTCAGATAATTGACACTGGGGCCCAGGCATCTGGGCTGGCTTAGCAGCAGATGTTCACAGTCACTTTCTAAAGCCATCTTCGTGCTTCTGAGTTCTGGTGTTGCGCTTCTGAGGGAATGCTGCTGAATTTCTGAAGACGTCTCCTGCATGTTGTAAAGCTCAGCTGCTCTCTGCTTAGCCCCCAGGCTGTCCTTGTGGGGATGTGGCAGGGAAGGGAGGATTTGAAGGAGGTGACTAGAGGAGCGTTAATTCTTGTTGGTTTAATATGCCTCAGTACTACAAAGCGAGGACGCACAAACAGGAGCAGAACCAAGGTAAGCCGGTGAGACAATATTAATACCTGCTGCTGACATGTACCTCAAGACATGAGTGGGAATGGGGGAAGCAAGACTAAAAAAGAGGGCTCTGCTAAGACTGTGGTGAGCGCTTATCCCTAAGGATTTCTATCTTATTGTAAATCAAAACAGTTTGGCTGCCTAATCCTCTGAAACAATGTCTCCAATTACTCTAAATTCCTCTGAAATTTAGGAGCACTGGAAATGCTGTTCATTTGTTTGAGAAGATACAGCTGTTAGGGGTATCAGAAGGGTAAAAAGTGAGGAGCTAGAGCTAACTGCCTCTAGAATTTTCCTTCAAATCAGAAACTGGGAGAGATGCATATTTCCATCTTAACTATCTTTTTTATTTATACATATATTCCATTGTAGTAATTTCATAATATCTCACTCCTGGATGAGAGAGCAGGGAAACTGAATCTACTCAGATGGCAAAGATTTCTGACCTGTTGACAGCTTGTTTCCTTCTCCATCGCTGTTATCACCATTAGGGGGATCATCAAGACAAAGATGCTCATACTATAAAAAAAAAAAAAATGCCACTTCTGTAACGCATCAGTCATGAAACTATTTCAAAGGAAGTTCACAATTAAGAAACTAGAAGTGTCTTAAAGGAAATGACATTAAATGGAGAAGTCAGGCAAAAAGATGAGGTACAGATCCATTGTGATTATGAACACGGAAAAAAACCATTACTGTTACGGACAACAGTGCAGAAACCTGTGGTTGATAAAAACAACTGGATTTCTATTGAAAGTTACCAAAAATCAGGCCCAGCCATGCAGGCATGTCAGTTTACAAATGAACACAGCTGCTGCTGATTAGAAAAGCATCCAGTTAGCCATGTGCACGTCTGTGCTTAAAGTGGTGGGCAGTGCTCAGAAGACATCACATGCTATCAAAAGCAGAGAGTAAATTAAAAAAAAAAAAAAAAAAAAAAAGGATTAAAACTTAAAACTAATAAAAAGATGCATTTAAGACAGCACATCCCTACTAAAAGTTATTTAATTACAACTAGAGGCACAGTTCCTCCATGTGACAGGACAGATACGTTTTGACAGCGCAGTGTTTAGAGGAAAAATAAAATATGCAGCCACATACAAGTTACTCGCTAGACTGCACATTTCTGTGTGCACAACAAGGACAAGGAGAACCCCCTTGGGTGACTGTATAATGTAACTTTGCCACTCCATAGCTGGATTCATTACTCTGCACAGTATTCAGCAAAAATGAAATAGCCTCTGTCAGCACTGGAGACAGCGTGATTTCATAACAAACTTACTTTGGAACAAGAATGCGCTTGTTACAGAACTTTTGAGCCTACTAACTCCTCTGAGCCTGAAATAATGTCTCTGTACTCGAACAAGTCAGCAAAGCGTAAGGTGGCAAAAAGCTGAACTTAAATATTTGCAGTATTTTGGACATGCTCATAGGAAAAATTTGGATAAAGGCTAGTTGTGACTCTTTTAATCACAGAGGAAAACTATTGTCTCTCAAGACACATCAGATTATATACAAGAGCCTAAACGGATTCTTTACCTCCAAAGATCTCAGGAGCATTTCCACATGTCAAGAAGCAGGGAGATAACATAAAAAGACCAGGTTTTATGCCTCAAGAAGGAAAGGGTACTTTCACACTGGCAGTTTAAGTATAAAAGTCACTACCGTGAGAAGCTGCGGATGCCAAACTAAAATGAGGTGCATAAAGAAGCTAGACAAATTCATGGGGCAAAAAGTGAATTAGTGACTATTAAGCAGTAACTTTGGATTTTGATGAGTTGTATCTGTGGGAAGAGGATCTCCTTACTTCTCTTGAGATTTTCTCAGTTTCTCTGCTCTTACCTGCCTTGTTATCCTACCTTCCAAATCTCCCTAGCAGCTGTTTGAAGCAAAACAATTTCCCTTTACCCTTTCCCAAAATTTCTACCTGATCCACATTTCAATTAAAAAATTCACAACAACTAGAAACAGAACAGAAAAGCTCAAATTAAATGTATCAAGCATAAAGTTTGCATGGTAAGTTGGCTTCCTACAGGTGTGCTAGGGAAGGGAGCACTGCATCCCTCCCTTCTCCCTCTTTATACCTTCTAACATCATCCAATACCAAACGGTTTTCAGTGGCAGATGATTGCTGCAGGATGGATCAAGAAAAATAAATAACAAGTGCCATCACTTTCTCTAAAATACCCACTGTATCACTTTCCTTGTAAGTTTATCTTTAGCTTTTTTTTTTTTTTTTTCAGCCACCTAGAACGTGCAGCTTACAGTGACCCCTGACTGAAAGAGACTGTCAAAATCCCAGTCCTTATCTCTTCTAAATGGACACAGCATCACACAGAGGTTGTTTTCCTGTCATATTCGGTCCTTCACTGAGGCTTCAATCATCTTGTGTTGTGGTACTCAGCTGTCACTGCTCCATTTCAGTGTGCCTGCCTTTGAGAGCTGCTGTACCAGACAGTGTGTTACTTGGTGCAGTCCTTTGAGGGCCTGTGGAATAGCCAGTGTGACATAAGAGCACATTTAATAAATGCATTTGAATTTAACTTAGCTATGCTGAGGATGATTTCAGATTCCACTCCTCAGCCCACTCCATTCAGCTGTGTAGGAAGTATTAGCTGTTTAAAATTGTTCAGTATTGCTATGGCAACCCTCACTCTCCAGCAGCCTCTTACCAGACTACACAGAAATGCATTCATTTTTCAGGCAGGCTGTGCACTACTCTCCAGATCTGGGGCTTTCTCCCTAATGAAACACACATCTAATCCCAATTCCTTTTAATTTGCCTCATGAGCACATACCAGTTTACTCTGTGAAATTTGTTTCATTACCTGCCCTACTGTACAAGGCCAGATCCCATAGACATACATACAAATCAGCTGGTTTAAGAGCAATTAAAGACTGAGACCGGAACTATGTGGCTTCACATATGTGATTCAGAGGTTCCTACATCAGACCTCACTGTCACTGAAAGTCATTTCCTTCTTCTTCACAAACTTGGGGCGAGGGGCAGGGAGATTAAAGGAAAGAAGGAATATCACACGCTGTGTTTATCAGTCACAGAAGGAGCACTGGAAGACGAAACTGCAGAGTATCACGATGACTCTGTCTTGCAACATTCACAGACAGCAGCACAGTACATGCCCTTCAAATATTTGGATATATGCTATATGTGAACCCCTGCACTAAAATATGGTGTCCTCAGAATTGCCCAATAGAGAAACATAACGGACCATAAAGTAGCTCTTAAGAAGTCAGCAGATGGTTTCTTGAACTGGCAGGCCCAAGCCTTAGCTGTAGCAACCCAAGATCTTGATGGCTTATGGTAATGCCTGAATGTTTCTATGAGCCAAAATTCACCTCTGCTACATCTGTGCCATTGCATCAAGCGCCGTCACAAATCAACAAATACAAAACTCTACAACTTATGGATTTATTTTCCATAAAGAGCACCAAAATACATAGAAAAGAACTTGTGAAGACTCTTCTCCTAAGCATCTTCCATGTTAATGAGAAAAAACAACAAAAGACAGAACATCATCTTTCTTACCAAGGAGGAAAAAGAAAAGTTATTTGCCAGGCACAGAAAAATGAGACTGTGCCCCCAGCAGAACCATAATCATCTCTCTGAGGAGTAGGCTCAAAGATTGTTACTAGTCTGAGAAGGTGTTACAGCTGAAAAGATTATCACAGTGAAAATGGGAAAAGAAACAAACGGGTAAGGAATGCTCACCTGTATCTGAAGATCTCGGATTGCAGGAAAGACTCCACAGGGGAGGGATCTCCAGAAAGAGAACCTTCCCCAGTGCCAGTCAGCCCTTAAATGGGGTCTGGGAGATCACACAGGAGAATTACTTTCACCTGTGCTCCCACGGCTGACTCAGTCCTTTCCTCAGGTGATCAGTCAGTGGTTCAAGGCTATGACTCAACAAGTCCCATACAGGAGGAAAGGAGTATCCAATTGTCCACTGACTGCAGCCCCATTGCTTGGGACTTCATATAAGCAATGAATTACAAGCTCTTATTCTCAATGCACTGTTTGAGTTCTCATCCCCACCACTGAAAATTTCCCTGAGTTTTCTTTCAATAACCACAACATAACACAAACGTTATTGTAGCTTCTCCTCAAAGGGTAATGGCATACTCGGCCCATCACAGGGTTAGCAATTACAGCTTCCTCCCTCGCAGCTGGAAATGTTTCTGCAGCTGTCTGAACTCTGAGCCAGCTCAGAACAAGAAAGTAGAGGCTAAAAAGCAAGACAAAAATTGTTATTTGCCTATGCCATGGAGAAACAGTCATCAATGAGCTTGAGCAGATGTGAGAATGTATTGACTAGCTCATCCACTACCAGAGAATTCTACATCAGTAAAAAACCTCGACTGATATTGTAAGTGATGGAACAAGCTGTTTAAAAAGACATCATCAAAATAGTTCTCAGAGATGGGGATAAAGTTTAACAGTTTTTCCCAGATCAGATTTTGAAAATGCATGTGAAAAACTATTGCATCCAGGGGTCTGTCTTGCTCTGGTGAGCAGATGATTCTCTTCCCAAGCAGAGCTGGCTGTACAATTTATTTCATTTTTCTGCTTCTTGTTCTGTTCATAGTCATCTGAGAGTGATCTAGCTTCAATAATGGGAAAACACTGCAAGAAAAGTGTTTTCTCTTTCAGATGTTTTCATTATTGGCTATTCTGTGACATCAAAAATGTTCACAAGCATGTTTGTGAGAGGATTAGCTATTGCAATAGCCACTTCAATAACGCTTTGCTTTAAAAAAAAATGCCCCTGGACTCATGTTTCAATAAATGACAATTGTGTCCCTCCATACCTTCCTAAATACAAGCACATTTGAAAATCTAACTTATAATATTTTAATATTTTAGTAGCTGCAGTTTAGCACCCCAGGACACCTCTGCCAGCTATATTCCCTGAGCCATGCAGCCTTCGTTTCCACTCTCCTAGGTGGAGACACAAAGAATACCTGTTATCTCACCTGATACACGTGCCTTTGGCAAGCCTGTCACACACAACCACAGTGTGACCAAGTGAGAACTCAACTGCACTGCAGAGGGAAGGGTTGTGCCTTCCTGTCCCACAGGCTTGAGGCTGCTGTGGTAAGCAGCCTGCAAGGAGCCCGGCTCCTTCGCTCCTGGGAGAATCGTGTTGGAAAATATCGACCAGCAGCAACAGTCAGAAGGGAGCATGATAAGGGTGCAGCAGTACCCTTATTCACTGCCAATCTTTCCAGGCATTGATAATGTAACTAACCCCTTTTCAACATATGGCTGTAAATACTCAGCACGTTTTCACTTGCACCTCATCAGTTGTAGTCACATCTTCCAGTGCCTTTCCTACAGGCTGGTTGGGTTAGATCAGAAGCAATTATTAGAATTTATGACTTGAATTCACTCACCAGTGAGCGTGTACTGAACAACACTGCAGGTTACACCACCGAGGCAGCCAAGGCATCCTGAACCCTGCCTAATGATATGCATCCCTGTTCACATTTCTCCAGTGAATGCACCCATTTTGAGTCTGACAAAATAAAATGGGACAATAATTTGGCACTGGGCTTACTGGAGGAGGATAGAAATTGCATCAGTCACAGGAAGTACTGAAGGAGAGACTGCCTCCCACTCAGAGCAAGTGATCTGATTCCCATTACCAAGAAGGATGCATTTATTTCTTTTTGAACTGCAAAGATGCAGACCATGTTATCCCCTCCCCCTATACGAGTGATGTGAGGAGTTTATTACTGCACAGTGAGTTTTGCTGCTCTGATTTATTGGAGACGCAAGAACAGACAGGCAGACTCAAGATAGGAAATAGCACGTATCACCCACTCTTGAGTTTCCTCTCTGCAGCTCCAGTAAGTGTGTTTTTTGGCATGCACACTGGAAAAAAATATTTTCCATTAATCTGGACTAATGCGTTAGCCCAGTGCTCTGCCTTCCAAGATCTGTGAGATCCAAAACATGTTTTATTTAGTCTAAATAGAGCTCCTATGATCTGCAGTACTTCCTGGGTATTTGTATATGAGTGTCATTCTATAGAAACAGGTACAGACATGTGGCTTGCATTTTCCTTTAGCTAATTATTTTTTCAGAGATTCAGCACTAGAAGTGATCAGAAAAACACTGACAGAACTATGCTCTGTTGGGAAATGCAAGTGTCTTCAAATGGGGGGAAAAGTATTAAATTCATCACAGAAATTTGCATCAAAACCTTCATTCTGATCCAGCAAGGGATCAGACACATTCTCTGACCTGTGTTTCCAAAGGAAACAATTTGCATATCAAATACTTGCAACTGCTAAAATGCTTGTGAGCAAGAAGCTGCAAATTATTCACAGAAGTTATTCAGCTAGCAAGTGTGAATGAAGACGTTGCGCAGTCCTGTGATGTGATGGCATGCCACTTGAGAGCCAAAAGAGCAGTGAAAATCTTTGCTAATTATTATCCCCGCCTATGAACTTGGACTAAAGGCATGCACTGAGATCTGAATGCATCCCTCTCTCTTTTTGTTAGCTGAATATTGCCATAAGATGTATTTTCCTCTTCAGAGTTTTAGCCAGGTCCCACAGCATGCTTTTAGACTGCACATGAAACACAGCATGAAATAATCTGTCACCTTTCTTTAACAGGCCATTATTTGCAGTCTTCCTGGGCAGCTTTGAATCAGATCTGCCACTCCTGGCAAGCCAAAATGTTAATATCCCTTTGATATTCAACTGCATTTTTGCCAAGCTGGATGAAATAACTTCTACCCGATAACAACTGTCTGCTGAGTATTAGGGTGTCCACATAAAACAGGAAAAAAGCCATAGCTGGAGAAATTCCAGGCAATCACTATTTCTAAATGAAAAATAATAATAATAACAATAATTAAATACTGCACTTTTAATTTATGCGTTTTAATTTGTCTGACAAAAAAAAAAAAAGCCCATCAACTCTTGAAGTACGCGGGGGAAAAAAAGGACTACAGATGTAACCACTAAAACATAGCAGAAAACTGGGAAGAAGAAAAAATGATGCTGCATTTTAGAAACAATAAGTAAAGCAGGAATGGCAAATCCACTCACCTCCACACAAAAAATATGGATATTCTCATTAGCCAGATTGAGTTTACTTGAAAAAGAAAGAGTCATTCCCTGGGAAGACACACAAAAAAATCTTTTAATATTTGAATACAAAAGAAACACAAGCTGACATTTTTCCTTATAACATAGCAGCGTTTTACTTGCAGCTTTTTACAAGCATTTTTTATTAAGACCCATGCAGGTTTGAATCACTAAACGTCTGCGTATTTTTTTTTTTCTTTTCTAACTCCTTATGGAGGAAAAGTTCTGGCAATCCAGCCCTTCTGATTTGCTTTACATGAGGAGAAACAAAATACTTCTCTAAGAAAGCAAGCCTGGTTCCCAGCAAGCCCATCTACAAAGCACCCTGAATTTATAATAACAAAGAAATGACATAAGATCTCAAGAATGTTATTTTTTTTTTTTTTTTAAGTCCAACTGTGGATAGGTAGAAGTTGCCAAATACAGTATCCCACAATTAACATTCAGACAAATGGTCTTTGATGTACATATACCAGTTTCAACATTTCCACTGTTTTTTTCTTCTAACTACCACTTTAGTCTAAATGGAAATATTTTAAAATATTTTTAAATTAAAAAAAAGTGCAGAGATTTGCAGTTCAGGCTAGATGGTGGGTTTTAAAGGAAAGCAACTCTGGTTTACAGTGCAGCCAAAGCATCAAGCAAACACTCAAGTTCTTAATCTTAAGAGCAGTGACATCAGATGGATTGGGCCAATTTCTGTATTCTAAGTTTAGCTGCTGAAGTTCTGGAAGGTGGAGTTACATTGGGCAAATGGTGGCAGAAAGAAATTGAAGTATGTGATTTATTGCTTATTGTTTGGATTAACTGGATTGTAGTAAGCCGTGAATATAAAGTGTGTTGGAAGGATGCAGAAGGTTTGCTCTTGGATCTTGTAACAGTCCCACATGAGCCATCTGCAAATGATCAAAAGGCGTCAAGTAGCTGAGAGCAAGAGAAAACCTCCAGGAATTTATTTAGGTCTTTGACTAAACAAAACTTTATCAAAACTGCAGTTCTCTTTTTATTTGGCTCTCCAAGACCTTTCTTCCTGTAATAAACAAATGGCATTCCAAATCTCACTGTATGGTCAACCGTAAATATCCTTCACATCCAGTCTTGCTCTGAACATGCGGTTTTTGTTCTAGAAATGTATTTATAAACAAATATTCTCAGATATTCTCTAGACATTTAGAAGTGAATGCTTTCTGAGCAGGAAATGCTGGGAGGTCGGTTTCTCTGCTTTTAAGACACTAACAGGGAACACATGGAAAGGATGTAAAGTAATTCCTGCATTGTTTGAAGTAAAAAATTAAATACTGATGTGTGCCAGCATAGAAGCGATACAAAGGGAATAACTGCTGAGTTAAGAGGTAAAGTACGTAGGGTAGAGGTAGAAGAACAGTTTGATTCGGATAAAGCCATCATGTTTTGGATAGCCCTTTTAAAAAGCCTCGGATGTGTCTGAACATCCTGATGTCCTGCCTTTTTCAGTGCTAAGCGCCCTTCTACTCCTACTTAACTTGATGCATCCACTGTCAGAACCTCTGATATTTCCCCATTTCCATTAAAAAATACAGAAGTGTCCTGATCCTACTGCCCCACACTCCATAATGAAGACGTAAGATTTAGTCTTAATACTTTCTTGTTTAACTTAAAGGTTAAATTTTGAAGTTTAAATTTCATCAGCAGATAAATGTGCTATTTTGTCTCCCACAGTTCCCCTTTTGCTCTCTGTCTTTGCAGTGAATGCCTTACCCAGGTCATTCAAAACTAACATGTCTGTGTCTTGCTCCAATCCTAGTTAGAAAT